GAATTGGCGATTTTTGCACATCGTGAAGTTAGCCCGCAACAGAGATCGTTTTAAAAAAAGAGAACCTTGGTGAAACAATCAAAACCAAAGGTTGAACAATCCTGAACAATCACTGAACTATCGATTAAGCCAATGTTTAGCGTGCGGGATGATTTTTGCGGGCTAACTTTTCGCAGCTCGCTCCCCCTTGGAGGGGGATGGCCGGCAGAGTCCCCAGTCCCATTGCAGATGCGGCGGAGGGGGGAGAGAGAGATCAATGGCCTCCACCCCTCAACCTCAACTCGACTCCGCTGTTTACCCCTCCCGTAAGCGCACCTGCAGCCCCCCTCTCCCTTCCCTCCCCACTTCCCAAACCCCTTCCCTGAAAACGCCACAAGTTTAGTTTGTTTGTCTCCCTAACTACTACCATAACGGCACAGACTACAAAAGGGGGGCAAAAGCGGGCCGCGGGGCGTCGAGGCGTCGGGGAACGAGTGCAGAAAACAGCAGCTGATGCCGATACTGCACCCGGGAAAGTGGGCCGGAAGTTCTATATGAGGATAAAAATGTCGCGGTCGCAAGTCGCAGTGGGCGTGGCGAGGCGAGGCGAGGCGTAGGGTAGGGTGGGTGGCGTAGCGTAGCGTGGCGAGATAGGGACGCGTAGCTCGGCGGCGTGGCCGGGGCAGGGCCCCACCTCTGCACGGCTTCTGCTTGGCTTTATCTCAAAGCAAAGGGTTCGTTCGCTCCGGGACATAGATGCACTTCCGATCCGATCTGTTTGCCGAAGGGGGAGATTAAGGCGGCGGCGCAGACAGACAGGACTCGAACGACTCTGACGACCCTCCGCTCGATCACTTCTTCTCTACATGTGTTTTCGGGAGGTGTTTGTGTTGTTTGGGCCTTACATGGGTGGAAGGGGAGAGAGGTGCCACTTCCGTAATAAACCTGAAGACTGCTGCCGAGTGCGGGAAATCGCGTGCGAAACGAGTATACTGTACACTGTGAAGATGAAACAATTTGACTGGAGGGGGGGAAATGCATCGATTGCGGTATGAAAGAAATAAAATTCATTCAAAAATCCAGATTTTAAGGTCTGCGATATAACTGGAATGTGAGTGGACAGTGATTTAGAAACGACAACCTCCTCTTGCCGATCCCAAAAATGACCCAGAAAGCGGGTCGGCACTCTCGCTACAAGAGCACGAGACATGAAACTAAGCGCGGAGAGTGCGGCTGAATAAAAGAATCGCATGGTAATTACTGTAAGTAAACTGTTTTGTAGGCGGCCATTTAAACCATTCAGCTCCACTCCAATGGGCCGGGCTGACCAGCGGGCCAAACGAGTTGACGAAGCGCGTCCCTGCAGTTAACTGGTGGGGACCGGCGGGCGGACCCCGTCGGGGGGTCAGAGCAAAGCACCAAAAGGATACGTATATCTGGTCGCGCCCGTAGCGGACCTGCAGGTTCCGGTTGATGCCGTTCTCGTCGATGTCCGAGATGACAGTCATGTCCGGCACGCCGGCATCCGGCCTGCAGCCTGAAACAGAGAGAAACGACAGTCGGTCAAACATCGGCTCCCACTCGTTACACATGTGCAGCTGGCGGCCATATAGTGTCACTTGTGCGCCGCGGGCCTTGGCCTTCGTCAGGCGAGAGGAGCGCGGTCAATTCAGCAGCCAGCAGCGCTGCACAAAGTTTTATAGTGGATTGCGGACGCTTTTGTCGCTGGGCTTCTGCCTCAGCCAGCCCACCAAAGCCCCCCGCCCCTCACTGCGACAGCCTGTGGGTGGGCGCCGGCACACCCCACCGCACCGCCACGCCCCTTGGGGGTTGCATCTGTCTGCGGCGAGCACCACCAGCGCAGCGACAGCGTCAACAAGACTGAAAAGCCAGAGCGAAATTGGACGTCCACAGCCTTTTGCGCCAACCTCTCTGCCCTGGCGCCCGCGCCCGCCCCTCCTTGCAACGCCGCGCCCCGCGCCCGTCCCCAGGACTCGTTGTTACCTAAGGGGCTCTTATCTCCTGGAACTGGTCGGCAGTGTCCTGGTGCGGCTGATTCATGGAAGGAGCCAACGAGTAGAGCACAGAACACGCTCAGTTTCACACGAGAGAAGAGCGCGGAAGAGAGCGCGAGAGAGCCGGGCTAAAGCGAATGCAGCTGTGGAGCGAGAGAGAAGGAGAGTTGGAGCAGGTTCTGTGTGCGTGGGACGACGCCCTTGACGCCCGAAGGTGTATCGCTGCGGGATCCAGGGATCCACGCCCGGGCACGGCACCAGACCAGGTCGCTAAACTTGCAGGCATGCCGAGACCACCCGACGGCCGGAAGCGGGTACTCCATTGGCCTGGGCGCGGCGCGGCGTTGCGCGGCGGAGCGGGGTGTGGCCGGCCGATCTCCATAAGGTCAGTTGTGGCTCCCTGCGCCTCGCCCTGCGCGCTGCGGAGAGCCCCCTGTGAGCCCTGCGCCGAGGACTTGAGCCAGTGCCAGAGCCGCATCATGATGCCACTTTCGATCGCCGACCGACCTGGCTGGCGCTGCCGGCCGAGCAGGCCCCATCTGCGTACTAAAGAGGCGCGGGAGCACATTCCCACGAGGTCCTCGGCACGCACGCTGCGCGCGCTGAGCACGCACGGCCAACGGCCAGCCGGTCAAGTGCTCGGGCTCGGCCTGACCAGCGCGCCGGGCCGGGCCGGGGCCGCGGGGTGTCGCGCCATCGCGAATGCATCATAATTGCATTAATTAACCGACGTTGATCTCCGGACGCGATCGACAGCGGTTCGACGGGTGCAGATAAGAGGTCGACCAGGCGGGGAACCAGGTCAGCGCAACAACCTCCC